CTAGAGAGACCTAAAAATGGCTGTCCACCAACGTTTACCATCCAACCTGACAGAACTGGAGAGGATCTGCAAGGAGGAATGGCAGAGGATCCCCAAATCCAGGTGTGAAAAACTTGTTGCATCTTTCCCAAAAAGACTCATGGCTGTATTATATCAAAAGGGTGCTTCTACTAAATACTGAGCAAAGGGTCTGAATACTTAGGACCATGTGATATTTCAGCTTTTCTTTTTTAATAAATCTGCAAAAATGTCAACAATTCTGTGTTTTTCTGTCAATATGGGGTGCTGTGTGTACATTAATGAGGAAAAAAAATTAACTTAAATGATTTTAGCAAATGGCTGCAATATCACAAAGAGTGAAAAATTTAAGGGGGTCTGAATACTTTCCGTACCCACTGTATATAACTATATATTCTATTAGTTATAAAAAATATGTTTTATGGTTTTCTTGTTGCTACTTGCACAAACAAACGCCTTTTAATAACTTTTTATCATAAAAAAAAACTAAAGCTTCTCTGCTTTTTTTTAAAAGAGTTAATAATAAAATATAATGCCAATGGCAATATATTTTTAAAATAATTTTTACTTTTAAAAAGACTTTTTATCCTTTTACGACATCTGTAGGCTATACTTTCCTTTTATAATATCTGATACTTTAGGACAGTCAAAACATTTCAAACTGACTCTTAATTTAATGAATGCAGAATCATAATCATTAAATGGTTGTATCTAAATTATTCTATGTATTAAAATGCATTTTTGAATAAATAATTAGATCCGAGAACAAAATGAGCATTATGTCATCGCGAGTGCATCTGAGCTTGTGCACAACCTCCTTTTCTTTGGAGAAAATTAAAATAATTGTAACAAAGGAAAGTATGCAAGTTTTGTTTACACTTCAAAGGAACACATGCAGCTATAAAACCCTGCTGACCGGTTATGTCGAAACTTACAAACTTCTGCTCCTTTGTTGGAAGGGATTGCGTGCTTCTTGGAAAGGGGAAATTCCCGACGATCTTATAGTCTATGTGGAGCATATAAAGGCAAAGCACACTTCCTCTGTCACAAACACATTCAACCGAACACTCTCACAAGAGAAACAACGATTTAACCAACTCTATAACTCCAGAGAGGGAACTGAACTAAACGACTGGTATGTGGCGTACTATTTACTTTCACCTGGATCTTGATTGAAAGTCAGTTTTTAAAGATTGTTATTTTCTCACTGTTTAGTTTTATGCTTTATTTTAGAACGATGGAATGCCATGAACACTACATTTTGCCTTCGGAGTAAGTATCGCTTGTTTTTATATATATATATATATATATATATTATATAAATCAATGCATCAAATCAAATAGCTCTTGTCTTGTCTATGTTAATGCATTTAACATAAAATCTATAAATGATGCATTTCTATATTTTT